TTCTCCCGCCCCGACCCCTCTAGGACACCGAGACTGTCGTAAGACGGTTCAAACTAAAGAAGAGAAGTATATAACGGCAACAACGGACTTATTTGTAAAAAAGCATATAATAGATTTATTCGAAGATTATACAATGGAGACTCCGGAGTTAAACAGCATGTAATAAATACCAGGTAGCGTAATTAGCTAACGTTAGCGTTAAACGATATTTATTTAAAATTTTATATATAGGAGCAGAGATTCTTGGACACAAACTAGAATGTACATGTCAAATATCTTATGTGGAGTAGGATATTTAAAGAAATGTTTATAATGAGTAGCGGGCTTACTAGTGTTAAATACTAGCTTATATCTGGGTTGTAACTGTTAAGTGGTGAGAATAATTATCTATGTGTTTAATCCTAATATTGACGCTGACGAGAAATACAGGACCACCCTAGAAACGATTTGGTAATAGAGTCAGTAAATCCCCCGAATTCTTCGAAAGGGGTTTTGGACAAGATAACTACAATCTTCGTCCCGAAGAACACCGTCGTAATCTCGTCAGTTTTTCTCTATTCCACTCAACGTGTCTTCCTTGCACTTAATAGGCTGAATGAACTGCATCTAAGTAAGTTTGTCGAATTCGTTAAAGTGGGGGATGTCGTCGAATCAAGACTTCGATTGCAAGCTATCCGCCTGGACTATACGTCTTAATAACATGAATAAACATTACGTATCTCGTAAGAGCTCTTTTCAAAGCATAGTCAATCATGTATTTACAACACGAAAGAATTTATGCGAGAAAAGATCTATTCAGGTGTTAGCGAGTGTTACTTGTACGCGACACGATGCAACGAAAATGTACTACCAGTTCTATTCCGTGTACTAAGGAGTTATGTTATTATTTTAATATTATTGAGAAAGATATTTGAGCAGGAGAGATATGTACGCCGAGGACTTTCATAAGAAGGTGTGCACAGCAACTCAATCAAGGTAATCCTGTCAAACATCTGCAATTAAGATCGTGTGACCTGATGAATGGAATTCTTCATCTAATGATAGATACACGAACCATAGTCCAGAGGCAACACTTAAAATTTACTCGACATGTATCCTTCCGATCTCTCTCTAGTTTAAATGATATGGGTTAGTGGTTAGACGCGACTGGCGGGAGGGGGTCAGACTGTGTCTCAGCCTTCTAACATATATTCGTTTCTTTTTGTTAAATAATTTCCACGTAGCCAGTTTTGGTGTGGTTTGATTGTTATTAAAAGATTGCGGTTTTAACTAAGATAGAAGAGTTATTCATCTCTCCTAGGAGCATAAAAAGACCATAGAGATAGGAGTAGTGACATGAGCACTAACTAATATCGCGTGATCCGTAAAACCTTACGTCATACGCACGTTTTAAGAGAACGTTCGTACAGCTAACCCTATACATTGAAAAAAATACTGTCCCATTACTACGCAAACACCGTCAGAATTAGCTCGTTTGAAGTAAGTACACCGACAATGAAGGTTTATCACTAGGAAATATAAAAGATAATATAACAGACCGCCAAAGTTGGGCTGGCAGCAAAGGGGTTCTCGTTACAACCAAATCAAAGGAGCAAGACAACAAGACTCACATTGTTCTGATTGTGTTTACTCACACTAAAAACATTGAAACCGGACAATCTGAATGTACAGTATAAGACAGACAGTTTTGATTTTCACATGAATCCATCAAAGAACCTCATACTAGCATTTTCTTTACATTTAGTCGACGGTACAAATGAAACGGGGAGGTTTACGGCTAAGCAATACATTTGATTGATCACTTTAAGACGGACTATACATGTCGCAATGGGCACTTTCAGGGGAAAACAGGTTCGAAAAAAAAGAAAGAAGAAGAAGAAGAAGCAAGGTCCCGTCCGGGTTTTTTTATTGAAGTAACATCAAACCTGCACGTTGAGGTAAGCCTGCCACGAGGGAATACGAAGGAAGCGATTCCCTTTAAAAGGGACTCCCTTAACCATATCCCCACTCACTCTGTAATTCGCCTTGACAGTAAATCAATTCTCAAGCCTGGCCCCTTGGACTCCTCCAACCCTAGGTCCTCCTCTCTCAACATTCCTGCACACATGAATCACTCCAACTCCTGGCTTCTAGCAGGCATTTCCTGCCCGGCCCTCTCTCTCTTTCTCTCTGTCTGACTCCTCTGCTGAAAGCTGGGCAGGAACCCGCCGAGCTTTGATTTGGACCCAGAGGGAGAGAGGGAGGAGAGCTGGGCTTAACACAGGGCCCTGGCTCTGGGACCGATCCGAGAGAGACTTGCGTGTGTTGGGAGATGCCTGCACACCCAAACAGGGATTTAGTGCTTTATCCTTCAAATTGCAATATGAGCAGCGACCATGTTCCAATGGCAATATCACTCCTAGCGCAAAAGTCTGCCCTGAGGGAGCGTCCTCAGTTAGGATTTAAGTATACATTCTCAGATGTTCATTATTGTTACAGTTCTGATACCACTTAAAGTGGAAGATCATCACAGGTTTTTCAGAACAGTGGAGCACGTAGTGTGTTAAATTCTTTAACACACTTTACTCTCAGTGTTAAGTGGATAGAAGAGCATTCAAATGTTTTATGGCAGAAATGTACACGGTAGGAAAATGGGTTGGCTCTTTGAAAGCTGTACACCTGTTCAACCTTCTAGAAATCATCTTTGATGCTTAATCCTCAGTATATATACATATTACTTTTTGTCGTTTTTGTTTGAGCGGATAGACAACCAAATCAGCTCTTAAAAAGAACGGGTCTTAATCTTTTTCATAATATATACACAAAGTGAAAGGTACATATTTTACAGAGATCACTTCACAAAGATAACAAACAGAGAGTCTTAGAGTGTGGGCTGCAGCTTTGTGAAAAAGGGTCATATGCTGCAGCTGTGGGAGTTGGCCTACTATGCAATGGCTGCTGTCTGCTTGTATGTGTTTGTATATATGTGTATGTGTTTGTATGTGTGAGTGTGTGTTTGTATGTGTGTGAGTGTGTGTATGAACTGCAGGGGTGTAGATGCACATGTTGGTAAGAACTGTTCATCTGCGAATGTTCAGAGTGTGTGATCTCATCCTCTTCCCTTCTCAGATCATGGCTCTTATCACCAGTCGCCCTTTGACCTGGTGGAGATAGGAACTCTGCTCTGACTCTAAGCCCTGATTGGTCAGGCCCTCATCCTCACTATCAGCCGGCTCCTCCTTGACCCTGATGACCCCGTAGTGAGCGTCGGGGAGCTCGCCGCTGGAGCCACTGCTGCTGCTGCTGCTCAACGTGTGCTTCCGGATGACTCCTCCAGGGGGCAGCCTGTCCTCCTGCATGCTCTCCACCGGCTCTCTGTGCTGCTCCTCCAGCTCCTCCTCCGACTCCTGCAGGTGTGCACTGGGCTGACGTAACTGCTCAATGGACTTCGACAGCAGCTGCAAAACACATCGGCCCGCATTAATAGTGATATCCTGCAGCCAATAAGCTTGAACAATTAAACCTTTATCTGAGCAGCAGGATTTGTTTTACTTAGAAATAAAGGTTCAGTTTTCATTTGCCTATTCCTTGGTATTTCATTATATTAGCTATTTTGGAGGGTGGGAAATAGATACAATGTGCTGTGTGATGGAAAATTGAGGACACAAAAGATTTAGCAAAATAAAAGTGTTTTTCTTATATTTTGTAGAATATCAGTGAATCACATGACTTAATTTAATAAAATGTATTTTAATCAATCAAATAGATAATTACTTCTCCATTAAAGTAACAGGTGCACATCAAGCTCAGTGGAAACGAGATTCTTTAGAGGGTAATAGTGCACAAATACTTGTTACCAGAAACAGAGTAAGAGTAACATACAGCCTGACAGAGGAACTCAATGCATAGGGATGTATCTATGTTTAAATCAGAATTACTGTAATGATGATTAATCTGCCACAAGAGGGCTCAGGGAGCAGGACAGAGAAGTTTCTACCGTTGCCAATAACTTTACTGTCTACATAATGTAGGCCGTATACAAATATCTTTGCAACTATAAGAATTAGACTCTTTAGCTTGGTATTAGTAAACAATGTGCGTAGCTCTTTCTAAAATCCCTAAGCTCTAGTACATTTCCATTAGTGCCCCCTACTGTTGCAGGCACTGAAGGACGTATACAAAAAAACGTAGACAAGCCTCTGCTAGGAAATTAATTAGGGCAATGTTTCGGAGATCCCTCTCAGTAAACAGTACACTGAGGGCTCATCCGTGATTAGTGGCCATTTATAACCTCCACTTAAAGAGGCTTTACTTGCGATCTCATTGGCCTGAGTGATCAGTGTTCATGTGTTCCAAGACAAAATGTTTACTCCCAAGCTCATTTAAAATCAAATCAACTTCATAGGGTACTTAACAATAATTACAGCAGATATTAAAACTAGTTTCAGTTGCCTGGCACTGTTCGTTATTTGAAGTGTTACAGAGGAATGCACACAGTTTGTTACAGTTTAACCTGTACATGTGCAACTCAATAAGCACTTATGGTGCTTTGTGCTTTTTATTACTTCTAGGTATTAGTTGCTCTATGGTTCCCATGGCTCTTTCAAGACCTAGCATTGGGACACATCAGTATGTGGGCTCACACAATGCTGCCTTTCACTGTGTGAGCCACCTCACACACGTCCCTCACCAGAATAATTACACTCTGTGTATAGCGAGGTCACCTCGGCCAGCTAACAGAAACACAAATATTGCCACAGAGGAACAAAATGTATTCTGGGCAAATGTTCCTGCATTTGAACTGAATTGAATTTCACAGAGTAAGCATGTGAATAGCACTGATGCCTTAAGCTAAGATAACAGAATTAGTGCAGGGGAAGCATTTCTTCCCCATTTTGAAGTCAGGCAGAAGTTCTTTGCTTTGCAGAAATAACACCAGGATTCCAGGGAAGAACAGACAACAGCATGGGTGTGTAAACCTGAGCTAAGTGCTAAAGATAGATCAGTATTTGCGTGCTTTAAATGATAAAATCAGATTCCCTGCAGTAAAGAAAATACCTCATGAGACCTAGAAAGGAAAAGAGAATGTTGCGAAAAAACTATTTGAAAGTCAAAATCCTCCCCTGTGTTTTAAATATTGATGGACAGCTCAATACCTTATTTATATGGATCTGCTGCTGGTACTGTTTCTGTTTCTCCAGGAAGTGCTGGTGTTGCTGCTGGATGACAAGCTGGGCCAGTGTGTTCTGAGGCAGTGGCGCCGACTGGGTCCTGTTCAACGGCCGGTGTTTTGGTAGTTTAGGCCGACTGCTGGAGGGGCGATCCTTCATGGCCAGAGGGGACTGAGGGTGTGATGACATGGTGACTTGGCCTTGAGGAAAAACAAAACAACAATAGAATTAGGCTCAATCTAAAGTTATGTTTTGAATTCATTGAACTTAAAGTATGGGCATATTAGGCGCTATAGTGCAACGTAATGTTGTGTTTAGAATCATGTAACGCAGTCTCACCAGAGGAGAGGATCTTCTGCTGTCTCATCTGCTCCTTCTGAAGGAGGTGTTGGAGGAGGGCCTGGTGACTGGGGCTCACTTTAGTCTCCAGGCCTGTCTGAAGGGGCACGGGGCCCAGCAAGTGCCCAGGAAGCCCATGCTTGATTTCTGTTGATCTGTCCTTTAACCCCATGGCCTGAAAGAAGAGACACAGAAAGGGTTATTCTTAAATTCCAACTACACATGATGTGCACTAGGCTTGGTCGTCTCTTATAATCTTTTGTAGGTCCTCTAAGTGTTTCATTTTAATAGTATAGTACTATCAGTATCAGCTGTTTTATGTGAATGAAAATGATTACTCTAGCTACAAATCAGGCATTGATGATATCAGAGACCATGTATAGTTTGAAGTTTCTGCAGCTGATGAATAGGCCTCTGTGGAATGTGCCAGAGAGCTAAAAGATGATATATCACGTGCTGTGTTATCAGGGGTTGCACTTGAGTGGACTTGGCCTTTTAAAAGCTGTGATAAATTAGGTAATAGGGGAAGATAAGACCATGCCTGACACAAGACACTGCAGAAAAATATTTATCTAAGGGCGATAAAACCGTTTGGGGCCACAGGTCAGTGACCTGCGGTCGTATAGAGACCCCCGACAGCCACTGATGGCAGGTTATTAGACTCATAGACTGAGCAGGAAAAACTTCCCAACACTTAACTGTATTTGGCAGGTTTTCATTTTGTGTAAAACAAACACGTTATCTAAGAGTATCTGCAAAATATGTACTCACACTTATGGACGAGGATGCAGTGGTAAGACCAAAGGAGATGTTGGGTAAGGAGGGAGATGTGTATAAGTTCAGCATCGACACAGAGCCCTCAGGTTGGAATAATCTCGGATGTGAAGGCCATCTCTGCATCGAACAAACAGGACAGAGAAAATCAGACAGATTTAAGAGGAGACGACAGATTTTGAAATCCCGCTATGGACAATTTCAGAAGGCAACATGAGCAGTGGCATAAATGTTAATGCACTATGACGAGCAACAGCCCTCCTTGCTGCGAAGGGAAAGGTATGAGTTTTTTTAACGATAGCTGTTAAAAAGGAGTGGCAAGCAGCAAAAGTTTCCCGGAGCTTCACAGAATAGCACCACAGAGGACGATTAGTTATTATAAAACATTGTAAACCTTTAAATCTACCGCTCCACCCTCAATTCTTCAGTCCACAACCGGCCTGTTTTTTCTCCCCGGTCCCCACCCTCAGGCTACTCTCTCACAGAACATCAGCGCTGGGGCATACTTCCTGTACCCAGCAGTGCAGCAGACCAGCATGTGGTTTTGGAACAGCAATGTTTATCCTTCCAACCCCTACCAGTACGCAGTGACCTGTATGTGGATATCCGGCCCATATTTGACCCAAGGGACCCGTTCCCTCTGAAAAAGGATACCTAATGTAACAGTGCACAAACATGCCTTGCTTTTGCAACAGGCATGAGGTCTACGGGCAGCCCCGCAGTCTCCCAATGACTTTCATGAGAGCCTCAGCTTGGGCTGATACAATAGCAATCCTTGTGTGTTTATGTTGTTAGCATGTGGGTGTCTTTGGCTACCAGTGCCTGGGATATCAATTAAACTCCACAGTTCGTCTGTCTCCCTCAGCCCCAACCTTCAGCCCCATGTCAGGGCGTCTCCCCCTTCTCTGTGTCACTGGACATCCCTGAGAGAGTAAACAGCGATGGTTAAGGAAAACACAGCTGTTCTGTTAAGATTGTTCCGAGATGTGTCATATCTGCCACCCTCTATAATGGTCTGCTTTGTGAGCTCGGTCCAAAGGGAGCTCTGGTCAGCAACTCAACCATTAATCTATTGGGCCTCTGAAAAACTCACAAGTGGAAGGCCGCCAAGCCAATGAGAGAAATACAATGACAAGCCAACAGCAACCTCGCAGCCAAACTAAAGCTGTTTTGTTTTTTTGGCAAAACATGAAACTGATTGTTCGGCACATCTGGAAGATAAATTATGGATAGAACTATGTGGGTTATTCATTTCTGCTCTGTTTTCACACTGCATAATGAGTCATCTTTAAGCATAAAAACTTTAGGTAATCAGACACGTGGGTTAAGCTTTGCCTCTTTAATGTCAGAGTTGGAAGCATTTTCACTGGAGTGCAAGAGACAGAGGACAAGTGGCTGTTTTTGTAGCTGCAAGCACAAGGCCAGACAGGCTTTTAGAGCACTGAAATAAAAGCATAGTTTTGATATTCGGAAGGTTTGCATGCAGAATAAGCAGTAAGGCATACTTTTTTGGCATCGTCAATAACACTGATGATTTATTTATAAACATACCTCAGTTTTTGTGGTGGTAGGCAGAGAGGAGGGTCCATTTTCACCCCCCAAGGCACTGGAGGCCCCTATGGGAGAGCTGGGGCCGGAGCCGGGGGCACTGTTAGTTGGCGTCGAGTCTACGAAACATCAAGGAGTTAGACACAGTATGCATGTTCACACTCTACACACAACACACATGCACAGAGGCTTGGCATAACAGCTGCATCCTCACAACAGTTTAGTGAGTACGGTCATGGCTGCCTGATTACAATGAAAGTGCAATGACCATTATGTGCTACTGCATTGCAAAATGGCTGATTAGCATGCAGCTATGTAGTAATAACACTAAAGTACAGGCTTGTATTTCTTTCATTTTAAACACCAGATTATAAGATGTAGACAATTTACCGCACACATGAGAGAGGGAAAAGAGAATTCTACATAAAGTCAGCAACATAAATTACCCATTAGCTCCAGAGCCCTCTTCTTGTAAGGAGCCATGATGTTTCCATCTCTTCTCTTGAGCATTGGGCTGCTCCTCCTCTCCGCTACCTTCTGCTTCAGTCGTGATCGTACCTTCAGGTTGGGCTCAGAGGCTTAAAAGAAAAAGGGACATTTTCTCTGTAAGTCTCAATGTACTCTTTGGGAATTAAGAAGCCCCATCACGTGGAGATAAATGATACAATCATGTGAGTGTTCTATGACTAATTTATAGAGTGTGTGCTTTGATAGATCCTGGGTGAAATGAACATAATCAAAGAAAACATTCTAAAATATAGAGACTAGTAACCAAATAAACTATTTTGGCACAATTGACACTTAACAATGTAAGCTTTAGTGAAATTCAAAGCAGTTTTCAGATACATGAAATGAGTCAGAATTGGGCCCATTTCCACCTCATCTGGACTAAATTAGTTCGAGCAACACACAGGCCCTAAGTGAAATAGTCCGCTACCTGCCGCCCTGGTGACCACAGTCTGATACAGTAGCAACAGTTAAAATAACACAAAAACATGGCAGATGCTTCAGGCTCCCCCCACACCCCTCCTCCTAATGCAAAACAGAGATAGCCAAATACACAGCCCCAACACACAGCAGGTTGTCACACACACACATATAGTTATTGCTCAAGGAAGTCTTACTTACTTGACCCATGTTTATTTACTGAGGCTTCATAAGGACTAAAACTACATTTTCAGTACAAAACAGGGGAATAACCAGGAACTTAAGAAATACTGAGGCTATGTTATTTTTATATCCTCTTTAATTGGCTAATAATATAACCAAGAATATAATTTAGGTTGGATATGTTGTTCTAACCATATGGATGAGGCTGGAATTCAAAAATACAGACAATGAGTCTCTTAATAAATGAGAAGTCACTTAAAAATAAAAAAACAGAAGGGTATTTAAAAGAATCATGACCTCTGAGTCCTCAATGGTAGTTACATGACCAGCCCTGCCAGGCCTTTTTAAATAAAACACTGTCACTAATTATCAGACTCTAAAATGTGGCTGGCACATAGGCAACTATGAAAAGATGATATAAGGTGGACAATGGGGAATACAGTGGCGGATGGATCTAGGCAAGGAAATAATCTTAAATAATATAAGCGTTTATTATGGGAAAGTAAGTAAATGCCCGACTGTGGAGAGGTGCTACCGTCTAGTCACAGTGACAGTGACTCACTAGGTCAACATGTCTCATGTGGATTTCCCATCAACCCTTTGGACATGAAGTCCCACAGCTAACCTTACACACTCAAATAAACAAGCAGAATAGATAAGCTGTTTTTTGACTGAAAGCCAGAGCACAAAGCTGTATTGAAGTTATGTAAACCTGTTACACAATAGCCAACCTGTTTCAATTATTTAGTTCAGATCAATAATTAAATAGGTCTTTGCAATGTGTACAACATACACAGCTAACCATAGGGAAGTGGGGCTATGACCTGGGAGCACTGCAGGGAGGGGGCGAGGGAACCGATGGGGGCACAGTCAGGAGAGTGGGCCAGATGCTGCTATTTCTGGCTTTTGTCAAAAGCAGCAAAACCCTCTACCCTAATACGTGGCACAGACCTCTAATCCTGTGGGTGTGAGGTAGAGTGAACGAGAGCGTGGGTGGAAGAAAGGAGGCAGGAGAGATAAATGGAGAAAAAAAGCAGCTGGGAGTCGTATGAATCTGCTTCACGCCCCGCTGCCTTGATTGCTTTCTATTTTTACACACTGCTGCCACCAAGCTACGCATCCCAATTGGTCGCCACGGGAACGGCAGACAGCACCTCAGGAACAAACACTTTCTCGCTGGTCTCTATGGAAGAAAATGCCCTGATGCACGGTGCAACAGGAGGCTATGATGGCGCCTTCACAGCACATACGCTGAACACCTGGGTCACTTCTGCTTCTCAGTAAACTGAAACATACAGTAATGGCTGCAATATACTAGAGTCATAAATCAATCACCTTATTGCATTTGAAAGTGGTGCTGCAGGGCGAGAGGCTGTGCAGCCATAAGTGTTATGCTATCTCCGCTCAATCATACATTTTAACTCTGCTGTTACGGTGAGTGTCTGTGTCCATTAGAGCGTGGACCTGGACAGATGGCTGTGTGGAAAGCTGAGGTGTTTGTTCTGTACATAAAGACGCCTGCTATGCATGTTCCTGACATTCTGGTTTAAAGTCATGCTGAAATTGATGAATGAATGCTGAGTGTGTGCTGTTCCTTTGCATGAAGGCTCAAACAAAGCCAAGTTACGGTTCCTCTGAGTTTAGATATTCAGAGTTATGAGATCAGCAGGATATATTTTTTTCCTAGTGTTTCTTATATTCAAGATCTGATCATATTCTTAGCTTTGGAAATGTTACTTTTGAAATGTAAACGGTTACAGATTTAAATGATGTTAAAGTAATGCCACTTTTTAATTTTATTACAAATGTTTTAAACTTAAAGCAGGCAGTGTAATCCTTGCAACAGCATTCAACAGCATTCAACAGTGATAACCTTTTCAAAAACTCATTTCTAACTTGAGTTACGATTTGAACAAAGCAATAGAATGACCAACATGTTGTGTAGTAACTTTTAAATACTTTTTCTCATTCACTGTAATTGATTACTATAACATTCATTTTGTAATTGAACTGAATATCTCTGATAGTAAACTAACACTTAATCTTTCTGATGTGTAAGTTTGTTTGATTATTTTTGTAAATATTTCCTGCACCTGCTAAATGCAAACATTTGGTAACTGGGTCAGGACCAGAGAGGGAGTCTCACTTCTTCCTGCTAAGCTGCAAACTATTCTTGCCACAGACTATCGCGTGCCCTCCGTCCAGTCTATTCTAGGCTCTGGAAACAAAGAAGTGAAACGAAGAGGATATACACCAAGTAAACAAGATAATTACGTGACGTTCTTTAAACTAGTTTATGAACAGGCCAAGGGCATTATAGCTTATTTTTGTTTTTTAAGGATGACATAACTATGAATAGGAAGCCTAAAAGTGGAGATCAAAGCACAAATTGTTCCTTTAATAGGATATTTAGAGGACTTCCTGAACCACAGTTGTCTCTACGGATTATTATGTCTATACCTGTACCTAAATAGTGTGCTTAAAATGGGTTAAGGAGACATTTGAATCCAATGTTGCCCTCTGGCCAAATAAAGCAGTGAGGAAGTCGATCGCGGAGCAATCGAGTCATCTCCACTTTGTTTTGAGAGAGCTATCTTTGCTTAAACAAACAGTCCTGTCGAGGTTCATCCTGGCTGTGCCCGTCTTAACTCGGCAACACCTGCCAATCAGCTATCAGTGACAGCTAGTGGCTCAGGGAACAACACTACCTTTGTGTGTCCCCCTCGGGTGCCAAGCTCTCAGAGGACTTTAATAAAGACAGACAGGAAGTGGGGGAGGAAGGCCTAAGCAGGAAATGACCACATAAAGAGTCAGGAATCCGGAGAATAAGAAATAGTTTTATCAAAAGAGGCACAGCAACCGGGAGATGATTCAACTATGAATAAAAAGATGAAAATATTCTAACTGAAATTGTATCCTTCTAGTTATTTGTTTTAACCTGTCTGTTTGTATTCACAGTAAAAGACAAACAATGTGTCCGTAAACCCTCTCTCTGTTATTTAAGAAAACTGTCTAAAACTAGTTATTATACTTGTGTGGCAACTCTTTACCTTTTGGCTCTATACGCATGTCCTAGAAATGTAAATATGTATTTACAAGGGGCAATTCTCTGTTCTGAAGATGGTAACATTCAAAGAGATTACAATAAATAAAACCTCTCAAAGCCTTCATTTACATGAGTGTTTATTCTTGCCATGCAGTGACTCTACAAGATATAATTCCTTTGCCTGATCTCTAAGTTGTGTATACACGCAACATGACAGGCCTGCAGTTAAATAACTCAACAAGTATAATTGTTTTCAATGTAATTAAAAGAGACACAGAGGGGAAAAGAAGATAATGTAATTTGGTGACCTCATTGCAGAAATATGAAGCTTTTTAGCTTGTGCTCGTGCAAACCAAAAGGCAAAAAATATTCTTATTTATACAACCATCCCCAAAGGATTCCTCAAACTTTAAACCAACAAACCTGAGCTGTTTTTGGTGGGAACCTGTGTCTTTTGAAAATAGCTTTTAAAGCCTATAACTCAGGAGAAATTAATCCCCTTTAATTCTCCCATTACTCACTAAACAGCTCAAAGAGGTCTAGCACCTTGGTTTATTATTGTAACATAGGGAAAAATGTAGTTCCTTTTAAATAAAAGCAAGGTCATTTCAGTACAAATTAGAATAATTATGTAACTTGCGAAGTGAAAACATTCAATTAAACTGTGTTGTTGCATGTGTGTTTTACAATAATCTAAATAGGAATAAGGAAAGGTTTAAGTTTTCTGGCATGCGTCACCGCTTAAAAAAGTTTTGTGTTGAGCCCTGGAGGGCTGAGGGGGCGGGGGGGCTAGGGTCATAATGAGCCTAACTGATGTTATTAGCAGGTCATCAGCAACCTCAGGAAACACTCCATGGTCACACCGACATCTTGATCGACAAGGGTCAAGAAGACACCCACTGTATTCATAACCCAGTGCAGAAAATTGAAAATAACTTGTATAAGGCAACATCTTAACACACACACAGACACACAAACACACACACAATCTGAAATCCCGTAAAAATCTATGTCTGTGTAGATGTATGTATATATGTGTATTTGCATTTTTATGTCTGTGCAGTGTGTATGTGCATAAATGAACAAACCTGTCTTCCTCAAGGGGAAGTCGTCCTTGCTCTCCATGTGGGATGGCAGAGTATAATGGCAGGTGGGGGATGTGCCGCCCAGAGGGGGGGAGCTTTGGTCGAGTGATGTGTGGTGAGAGGACCTAATCACACAAAAATACATCAGATGTATGATATAGAATTACAGTTAAAAGTCTGAATTTGTATCACACTGTCTCAGAATAAAACAACAGAAAACACTTACGTGTACCAGAGTTTTTGGAGGTGGATGAAAGAAGGATTGACTCCATTGCTGCCAGGGTCCTTTGCTGATTTGCTCAACAGAAACTCTTGGAGTTTCTGTTTCACCTCAGTACTTGCCACTGCGCCTGTGAGACCAAAAGGTGGAAACAACAGAATTGGGGTTACCCTAGGGCTATGGCTCATTAAATAACATTCCCTACGGTATGTAATCATTCAAATCAAGCTTAGCATTATTCTAACCGGTTCCCTCATCTTTTTTCACCCATCCCATTTAAATTACAATAATTCAGCTTTCTTGCTCTCTTATTTCTCTTATCTCAATTAACATGGAGTTTATATTATCTTCCTGAGCGGCAACAACTCATGAAGGAAGGTCTCCCCCTAGTGGTCTTAGAGCATTATATTAGTTTCAAGCTGCTAAAGGGATACTGCAGAGAGATGTTCTTTCCCGTTGGGAGGGTTATAGTTGCAGGTCACAGTTTCAAATTACCTGACATGACAAAGTCATAAATCTTGTCTATTATTAGCTATAAGGTAAAAGCAGAAATGAAATACTATATCTGAAGCTATTTTCATCGTTCTGTTGAAAGCATTTTCTCCTAAACGCTAATCTTAAATGTCACTGGACGACCTTACGTCATCCGTTGCATGTACTGATTAAGTACCATGTCATCATCATCATCATCATATTGTTGGATATTTCTCTTTTACCTATAGAGACTAAATTATTTTGAGTTTTGTAATTTGCCTTGTTTCAGGCATCCTCTAGCATAGCGAATATTGTAAAAAATGTGTCTCCTCTAACCAGGAACATGAACAGAAATCAGAACAGGTCCTGCCTATGAATAGCATGCGTGCGGTGAGAATGATATGTGAAAATGTAACCTTACTGTTATACTGCTGTGCTGAATATAATCTGAACATTATTATGTCATTATTCCTGGTAAGTAAGAGGAGGTTGTTTTAAAAGGGTTGCTTAACTTAACAAATTAAAAAGCATTGTACACTAACTCACAGTACTTTAAGATCGTTCTGGATGTATAATCATCAGCTTGTGAGATCTATATTATACAGCTACAGGAAAGCATTCATATCCAGCTGTTATATGCATATTTGTCTTTGTCTAAACTCTAAGATATCGCATTAAAAACATCTTCAATTATTGGAAAGACGGAGTGTTGCCTCGGGCCCTGAAAGTAACTTGTTCCACCCCTGATGTTAAGGAGATGGTGATGATGGCGGGTTTCGAGCTCTTACTCTCTCTGGAGCGCTCCTTGCCCCTGAGGATCAGGCTGGAAACATGCTGCTCTCGCCGATGCCTCTCCTGCTCCTTCTCCTGCTGGCTCTGCTGCTGCTGCTCCAGACGACGCTCCTTCTCTGCAAGATCCTGCTGCTGTTTCATGGCCTGGAGCTCGTGTTGGAGCTGAGAAACACGCAAGCCTCAAGTCAGCATGAAGAGAACACACTGACAAATACGTTTGAAATGACAATGGCTTATGTGAGCTTCCTCAGTTTCTATTTTCCTATTCTTTGAAAACAAAACTCACACTGTTCCGTAATGTATTGTGCAACACCCTGTCTTGCTGTGCTCAGTTGTTTCTTCTTCTCGGCACTCTGTAATGTTGTCCTGGGCTATAATGTTTTCTACTGATCTGCAGTATGCCATGCTGTGTGTTGTGCTCTGTTGTTTTGCACACTGCTGCGCTGTCCTCCATATAACTGCTCAGTGCAATGCTGACCTTGAGGTGCTCCTGGAGCTGAGCCTGGTGCTGACGGGTCAACTTCTCATGCTGCTTCTGGAACTCTGTGATTAGTAGCTGCTTCTGGATCTGCTGCTGCTTCTGAATGAGGAGCAGTTCTTGCTGCAGCTGCCTCTCCCACAGTCCCGGGTCTGAGCCTGAGCCCAGCATCCTCAGATCTGTACGCAGGTCCAACGGAGATAAAGACTCCACAGCCAAGGGCAGGTCCGGCTTAATGTCCACTGTGGCCCGCAGAGAGAAAGAGGAGAGAAAAAGACATTCGTCAATCCCTACATTTCTTCTTAAGATATGTGTACATTGCTTTTGAACAAATAGTGTTGTTCAGAATTTAGGAGGGCAGAAAGAAATAGGATTCTAAAATAAGAGACATGGAGTTAAAAAAATAAAAAGAATTAGAAAAAGGGTAGGAAATGAGGAGCAGCTTTTTTTTCTCGTGGTCCTCACAAACCTGCAATTATAAAAGTTCCTATAAACAAACATGGGTTCACATCCGCCAGCATAGTCTACTGGGAGCAGCTGTATAACAGACTCAATGGACATTTGGCACGAAATGTTAAAGTAGTCATTTAAAGTATTTACATAAATCCTATCTTCCCAGTGTTTGATAAATAAATAAATAAAAGGGACTCCTTCTCCCCTTCTCTGCTAGAACATCATACAGATCCCTTGTTAACATAAATAAGTTAAAGTAGTTTTGAGCCTGGAACACGCATACATTTGTGAATTCACGTTCCTGTGATCTTTCCATCTCTGTTCTTGAGTTGCAATGTTTGTGCATCCGTAAGAACTGCCTTTGTCTTTGAAGACTACCTCCATTATAAGTAATTGCCAGATACAAAGTGAGAGGGCATCCCTTTGGTCTCCAAGCTCTATATATAGGTTGTTCCACCGAGAAAATCGATCGCCAGTTAAGAACAGAGGAGACAGGGCTACTTCATCTCTCTATTCCACTGAGGATGATTAGTGATTGTACAGTATCTTTCTTTATCTTCTATACCTTTGTTTTCATTCACACTGTTGCATGAAGTTAAATTCTTGCTTCAGTAAGAAATGTTTTTCTTTAAACAGAATGACATCTTCAAACCATTTCAGACATAAAAGGATGTATTTAGACCTTTATTAGATCAGAAATGGAATAAAAATGTCAAAATGGCATGTTAGTAATGCTGATCATGATGTGACATTCAAGGAAGGGTATGCATTGTCCAGACTGTATAATGTATTTTCCATTTTAAGACCAGAGAAATATTCAAAGCTACTTAAAATTCCAGTGGCTGGAGGGAGATTTATTGAGAGCGTTCATGGCTGTAATCCTAGGGTCACAGTTGAGGGAACACATACTGTACAAGCAACGTTACTATACCACCTGTTCTGTGTAACATGTTACAATTTATATGATCACATAAATAACCTTGTGCCTGTGATGCATTTATCCTCATAATGAAATACCAATAAAAAGGAGTTTAAACCTTCCTAAAACAGAAGTGTCAGCCTACAGTAGCCATCAATTAGGAACCAATGCCTCCCGTTCACTGATGCTGTGAATCTCACTGGCGTCCATTTGTTTTGTCATGTAGCCTGTTTTTCATTGCCACCATTCCATGTGTATGCGGCGGCGGTGATGATTATAAATAGAAACATAAAAGCAAGTGGCGCAATCCTGGTCTGTGACAACCCCCACACCCTGGTATCCACCACCCTAACTTGCCGCTGCCATGGCAACGCTGTCTACGTAATTATGTCTCCCCATCCTGCAGATATCGAGTCTCACTGCATGTCATCTCCTGCCTACAGTGGCAATGTGACATGTTGACTATATCAGCCTTTCAGCTCTTATATAAGGAAGGAGTCCCCAGCTGAGAGACACAGGAAAAGCATTTAGAAACCCACACCCACACACCTACACACAAACACACACTCTGCAGCAATTCAATGGCTAAGTGATAACTTGTCTTGAAACATGTTCAAAGAGTGAAGACAGCTAGAGGGGACTCCCGCACTGTAATTTTTCTTTTGTGTTCTAAAAACAGCTCCTGTGAAAAGACAGAGGAGGGCAGGCGCAGAGAACAGGCACCTGTAGAACAGACCCGTCTCTCCTGACAGGGATTATTAATCTTAGCTTGTAAGAACTTCACAAAGGACTCAGCTGTAGCGGGGGTTGTTCCAGGAGCAGATGAGAACCTGTGAACCATTGAAGGGCTCAGAGAGTTAGACAGCCCTGGTGCTACTTTTGCCTAATGGACCTAAATATAGCAACAAAAAACACCTGCTGCCACGGAGTATTCACCAAAGAGATATCTAATTAATCTCATATTTCATTCTGTTCCCACAGTGTGATTGGCATTAAGGATCTTTGATCATCATACTGTTTCAAGCTGAGCCTCCATCTCAGTCTCAGACAGTGATTGAACAGGAGGAAGGGGGAGTAGTTGGAGTAGGGGGGGGGGGGGGGGGAGTTTGAAAGCTAGAGCCACCTTTTATATCCGAGGCTATATAAAATGGCCCTTGAGGAAACCACAACAGCATCATGTGCCTGTTCTACTCTTGTCCACTGTCTGTCGACAAAAATAACACTGGAATGACAATGTTGAGAGAACATAATAAGGTCCTAAAGTTATAGGCATTGTTAGAGCTCTGCTGAAGCCTCTACCTAATGAATAATGTATAACTTACATTCCTCATGATTGACATTATTCTATGTACTGATCGAAATAGAAAAAAAGGTTAAAACATGTCTCTGCGAACATTACTCATCCACATTTATAGCACAGGCACACATTTATAGCTAACATATTCAAATAGTCAAATAAACCCTGAAACTACCCGAAACTGAAATCTGCCGTTTCTTTATTACGAAAATACTCCTGAGGCAGAGGAGAATACGGAACCACCAGTAACTAGGGCTAAATATAAATGCTTTTCTGAGCAGGGTCTTAATATAGACAATGTGCGAAAGACTGTCACAGTTGCGAGGCCGCTTGCTTGATTTAACACGGGCAAAAATAAAAGCGCAGTGTTGCATTTATGTAACTTTTAAAGGATCACTCGCCGAAATGGGCCTGCCACTTCTGGTTCAGTGGTCCGATGTTGCCATTGGCGATCATGATTCTTGATAGGATTTTTTTCCGGGTGAAAGTGGGTTGCTTTCTGATTGGTGGAAAGTACACAGACTTTTCTTGAGGTACTGGTAAACAAGAGATTTATGAATGACAGGTCCCAAATTTGTTTTTAGCACAAGGGAGCGACAAGCACCCTGCCCCATGCCCAAATTCCTCCCTGTGGAGGGCCTGCCAAGGGGGGATAGGGTGACTCATAGCCTGTGACCACACTTCCACTGCAGCGTCGCACCGCCAGTGTCCCCAACGTGTTTATTTCTATAACCGATCTGCCTCTCATTAGTCTTGGTGGTGGTTAGGGTGACAATCACAGCCTTAATTTGAGATGTTGGATGGCTGTCTTTTTTTGCCTCAGGCCACATTAGCAGGCTTCCCACCCCGGAGAGAGAGTAGACACACATCGCCAGTGACATTAGTATTACATGTGAGAAGCCTAAAATAAACAGATATGTAGCCTATAGTAAAACATTATTAACAAAAGTCATTAAGCAGGCTCATGTTTTCACCTTTCAATGTAATCTTTTTTTTCTAGCACAAAAACTGACAACTAATGTGTGAAAAGACGTATTACCATTGTAAACATCCGCAGTGAATAATAAATGCAGCTATTCTTACACCTTTAAGAGTTTCTGCCACTGAATAAGGCTAAAAATATTCAGAATTTCTCCAGAAGGAAAACAAACGTAATGTTGCTTTAGCACACCAAACACATTTTGTCTAGTGTTGAGAAGAAAGTGTTGATTATCTGGTTTACTGTTTATTTTAAAAAATATTGATAACGCATTTTACATTTTTTTTCAATAATAACAATTCAAGTTGCATATATACTTTTAAAAAATTAGTTTACCTAGAAACATTCAAACTTATTTCAATAATGCTTATACTGGTGCTAATATTGATGTTAGAGTTGATATAGAGTTAATAGTTTCACCTGCAAGACTTAAAAAAAAACAATAGATTGTTAAGAATCAGATTGCTATGAGCCAATTCACCTCGACAGTAGTCTCAGTATAAAATATTTGTCTTTCTTTTTCACGTAAATAATACGTTACATATGGTTACAGCAGGTAGTGACAGCTAAGTAACCTCCTTTTCATAGATTTGAATTGAAACAACTTTTTGGCAACTACTAGTTTAGACTACCACAACAGTCCTAAACATTGCCACATCATTTTTGAGAAACACCTAGCTGTGTATAATAAAAGATGTTGAGAACATCTTAACCCAATGTTATACTGACCAAGAATCATCACCTTTATACGGTGTATATTTCATCATGACATTTATAAAAACGCAATATACAGAACAGTCCACACAGTGTTTACACTTTGAACATGTTGTATGTTGCATCCATTCAGTGAGCACTTGAGATGGTTGCTGATCTAAATTCCCTGTCTGACAGTATAAATAGAACCAGAGATACAGAAGATGTTTGAGTGCAAAAATAAGCTGATGCTTGGGACTGCAATGTGGCGCTGGATCTCTCATTAAGTGCCTTGTTATTTTGAGCAGCTGGCATGTCTAAAGCAAGAAACAGGTCTTTATTTTTAAGACTCAGGCTCGGCCTTGCAGCTGAGCTGCGGCTTGCAGGCTATCTGCTAACAAAGAGGGCTGAGCTGAACCACCACAGGCCTTTTGCTGAGGGGACCTAGGAGTCCAGGAGTCTCCTGCCCTGCCATCATCTCACAAAACAACAACACATAAAATAACATACTTTATATTAATTCTGTTTTCAAGCTACAACAAGGAGAAACACGAAAAAACTGTATGTGATACTTAAGAAGTCCTGCTTTGAAGATGTTTTACAAAATCTTTACCCTATTATCCAAAGACAGCATTGGCACTAGATCCTTCAGTCAATCAAATCCAGAATAAATCAATCACAAAGACTCAATCGCCTTAATGCATTGAGCTACAGCGAAAACTAAACCCAGAGGGAAATCATCTCTTTGCATCCCTGATAAAAAAAAACCGAGCTGTAAACTGTGCTTTTTAGAAACAAACAGGAAAAAAATGCAAAACGTCAAAGAAATATCAGTTGATTTGTCAGACTGTAAACCTTATCGTTAGTTATGGTTCAAAATAAAAAGTACTTAATTCTTATAAAGGGCAAATGTTAAACAATACTGAAACACAATATTGATTTGGGTTGTTTTGCACAGCCTCTTGAGTGCTGAGCAGTGCGGCAACCTGAATGGGTACAGGATACAGAGGAGAGGACTTGAAAGGTGCAGCATTGTTTTCATCTGAAAGGTCTCTTTTGAAGAGAGCTTGCATGACATTTTACATAATATTTAGCACTCAAGGGAAACTAATTAATTTCCATTGTTTGAGTGGCCATCTGAGGACCGTTTTTGTCAGAACTCTGATGTTACTCACATTAACACAAATACAAATAGGATTTTGCCCTTCATTTTAATGTTCAACGACGGAGAGGTAGAGTATCATACAAAATGTAAAGAAGTTTGCTTTAAAAAACAATTCACAAATAAATGATTTGGTGACATAAGGATCTCTTCACCAACAATAATCATAATAATAGATTCCTATCCTAAAATTAACACACTGCACATAATAAACCCACCCCTGGCTCTGTTTTAAAGGGACTATGTCTGCCCTATCAACAACTCACATGACATCCATTAAACTCATACAAAGGCATCCTGGAGCAGCTTTTTTAAACAGATAATGTTAGTCACCGTCAAGTGATTTACTATAAAATAGAAAGAACTAATTAAACAGGCAAATGACAGCATTCTCTATAAATATCTGTTCCAAACCACTGTTATATTAGGAGCATGCCGAGATGGAATGATAACGCACAGACGCCTAATCTTAGCAGGCTAATGCCATAAGCTGAAAATAACTCACCTAAGAATAGCTGACCCACAGAATAAGCAAGAAGCCCGAATTCAGGCGCTCAGTATATCTGTTGTTTGGCTCACAGGCCGTTAAAGCAGAAGAAGAAGAAATCCCTGCTCCTGGAGCCTGATAGTCAAATAACCTGCTCTATTGACAGACATGGAATTTGCCATCTCCCTGTCACCTCTCCCATCTTATTTTCAAATCTCATCACGTTCAGTTCACTGCCTCTGGATGTTTTGCTTGCCTCGAGTCAGACTTAGGGGTGTGTTTCTTTAAAATGTGTTCTTTTTTTATTTAGCTTTTACACCAAAAATGCTCAGGCAACAGTCAATGTGAAGCTTCTAAATGCACAATTAGTTTGAATTACTCGACATCATGACACCCTCTGCTGTTGGCTTTTTTTCAGTAAGTGAATCAATCACATGACTCAATCTGTAATTTCTCAATAAACACCCTTCTCAGTCACCCACAAGACAATGTCTTTATAGAGAACAATGTTTCCACCCTGAAGAGACAATTTTCACATTTTATCAATAGCTACTTGCTGAAAAGGTGTGACTCATCTTGACTCAATACAGTGAATAGATGTTACTCATACTGATGTCAGCCATGTCCTCTTCAATTCAATTCCCAAGTCAAAAATAGAACCATAATTGCTGTGGTAAATATCCTGAGAGAAATCTTTCAGTTGTCCCTTTGGTATTTCTGTCACAGTTTTTCCTGTTCCCTGAAAAGTACACGCTGACACGGAAGCTCGCAAAAACACAACATCCCTTTCATGTTTAGAGTGACTCATTTCAGGCAACTACTAGACCATGGGAATAATGTTAACACAGTTACTTATTTGAGGATAAAAACAACACTCCATTAATCTTACAAATATCAAGATATACCGAACTTTTAAACTCTTCTTCAAGACATCTTTAAACACAGATTGAGGTAACAATCCAAATGAGAATGAAAAATAATAAAGCTGCATTTACAATCACACACAAGAGCAAATACCTTGATTCAGAAGGAAGTGCCTGATCCTACCACGTTGCTGTGCTGAGAAGCTGTGAGCTCTCTTTTCACACAGAATGAGAGACTGGCTGAGCGCAAAGAGTTGAGAGTACGCGAGAGAGGGAGAGAGAGTAATTCTGTGCAAGAGATGCACGATTTAAAATAGCGGAGAGTAGGAAGAGGTAGAGGAAAGGCAGAGTGGAATGAAAAGAGGGGAAAAAATAGGATAGGATAAAGGATAAAAACTGAGATTCCTCAAAAGGAGATGAAACGCCGGGCTGTGTGATCACCTGAGTTGTTCACGTTGTGCATCTTGCTCTGGTTGGGGAACTGCTGGTTTCCAACGCGGCTTTCTGTTGTGGAGAAACTTGACTCGCCCTCGTAAATCGTCTGCAGCATACTCCACTCAGCGCTCAGGTCTCATTGCAAGCCTTGCGTTTCCTGTCACCAAGAGCCACCCCTTAGCCACTCAGGGGAGAGACCACGACAACAGGCAACTCTCTCCCTTCCTCTGCCTCCTCCTCTGATAAAACACTCTCACTGTGGCGCAACAACACACACTGCACACTATCTCTGCAGGGCTGCCACTCTCCTGGTGCCTGCTTCAATCTGGTCCAAACACTAACAAGGCAATAGGAGAAGATGCCCAGTCCAGCTTTTCTTTTTTCTTATCTGAATCTCTGTCTATTTCTCTCTTTTTTCTCTCCTCAGTGAAGTGTCTGAGCAGAGAAAAATGTAAAGCTGGGTTGCTGGGTTGCTAGGAAAGCTGTGTAGTGTGCACTGAGCACCTCGCTGAGGCAGTAATGCAAGCCAGGGAGGGAGCAAGCTTCATTTGCATGTGAATCAACAACTGCGTGGCCCACAGGTGACAGAAATAGAACAATGGCCAGCCCTGGCTAAAAATAGGTCAGGCGAGGCGCAGGGATTGGAGCAGCATTGATGCGTTTAAAAATACCACACCAAACACAGCTGTCTTCTTCTGCTCCTGCCAGAAGGCATGTCTCCTGACTCCCTCTCTGCAGATGGAGGCTTGATTCCTCTCTCTCCTATTCCTCTTTTTTTGATTTGTCGAACCAGTCTCTCTCACTCACTCTATTTATGTCTTCATTTTTGTTCTCGCAGGTACAAGGGTGGAATGATCCATTTCTACCTTGTGCTAAAAGAGACACATGAAGTTCACATCTGTGCAGTATGTTATGTCAAGGGTTTGTCTCTAATATGGTACACTAAACATAATATATAGTGGATTGAAATTGTTTTGGCGAATGCTAACAGTTCAACAAAAGGATGATGGTATAAACAAACACACATGCATTAGAGTTAAGCTAACAAGATGTGTTAAATCAAGTAAGACACCACATAAACACGGTATTCATTTAACTCTGAGTATAACCTCATTGCCATAGCTCGGTGTGTATGTAGGTTCAGTGTGTATCCAGGGCAGTACTGCTGCTCAGGAAGCATGCTTTCAGATAGCCAAGGAAGCCAACTAAGATGCCATAACAGCTTGATAGCAATTACGTAAACCTCAAACTGTGTCAAGACCACCTCTCCAGGATAACACATCTAATTTCCAATGAAAAAACTGTGTAAAGCAGGGATTTCCAAAATGACAAATAAAACACTAGTACAAATATACATTTGAAAGACCATGCATACTGAATTCTGGGAACCATGTAGCAATGAAGTAGGACTTTTTCAATTAATATTACATCCCAAACTGGCCAAGCTCTGTAATTAATATAATCTGACTCACCCATAAAAGTCAAGTCAAATGTTCTTTCTGACCACTGATGCAGGGCTGGGTTTGTGGCCAAGTAGCCTGTGCCTTTAAATTTTTCATCTTCCTTCATAATTTGACCTGTCCCCCAGCCAGGGGCGTGGAGCCAGCACGGCTATTTTTAGTTCCTGAGCTCTGACGACTAGGCTACAGAGACACAGAGAAGGAGTTTTACTGTGTTGTTTCAGCTGGACAAACATTTAACCCCCCGATCCTTTTATCACAACACAACCAAGAAGCCAAGAAGGAAATGCACAGCTTACAGGCTCGCCCCAGACATAAAACAACTCTGAAGATAGTGTATGATGTTGTACTACTTGATTATTCATAAACAGAAAAACAAGGAGCTTCGTTTTGTTTCATTACTACTTCCCTTTTATATCAAAACTTTAGATAATTATTTAATCGTTGCCTACTCTACAAGCTAAGAGCTAATTTCTCAACAAAGACATAAAACATTGTGGCAAATTTATCAATAAATAATAACTTCAACTTCCCCTTAGTGACACATTTTTGTAGAACAGATTTAGCAAACTGCGGATCTTCGTGAATTAGTTTTAGCAGTCAATTTGGATAAGATGGTGTGAGAGATAACAAGCTTTCAAGTGATGACGGCTAAAGACCGAGAGCTCCATCTGTCACAGTATCCTGTTGGCTGACCTGAACATAGGTTAAGGCAGTATTGATCAAATGAGGAAGCATCTCCGTCACACGAAAACAATTACACGTTAATGCTTTTTTTTCCCAAAATGAAAAGTTAAAAATATTTTTTCAATGTTCCTGTTACTGGGAATTTCTGCTATTACACAATATAAATACTATTATGCTGCAGTCAATTTTTGTATTATGACTGATGATGATGATGATATATTCATCTATTCATATCATGTTCTCCACAATATACATATAATTGTGCACTCTTTAGTCAAGTCAGACGTGAAGGAAATCAAATGAATTTCTCTGCACTTGTAATTTAATAATTAGTTCCCAGAAAGCAGCCTTGGTCAACCTGGCCTACTGCTCCTTAAACAAAAAAAGACATTTCACTGGGACATGTTAGCAGCGATTAACCTACACTTTTTATTTAAAACTAGCTTCCTGAGGCTGATGAGGATTTGTAGGATTGAAATAGCTTTGTCCAATAGGCAGGGTCCAGTAAACCTGCAATGTGGCAAGCCCATTATAGCTCCTACTGCGTCACTAGCGGCCTTTGTCTACTTAAGTCCTATTAAAGCATTTAAGTGTGAACGTCAGAGTCCCTGCTGGAGAGCCACTTCGCTCTGCTCTCCAGGGCATGGGCTCCACTGTCTGTCACCTCCCTCCTATCAAACATAAAAAATTAGTGTGTGGCTGTGTGTGTGTGAGTGTCCGTGTGTGTGAGTGTCCGTGTGTGTCCGTGTGTGTGCTTGTCTGTATGTTTTGACATCAGAACATTGACATAGAGTGGGGGATATTAGAGATGAGGGAACAAGTGGGCCAGACCAGTTAAGTACTTTCCAAATTTAAATAAAAGGCCATCATAGATGTCAGTTAACACAAACACGCATGAATGCACACACACATCACACACAACATGTTATTTATTTTAATTTAGCCAATTAAAATGATCTACTAGGACTAGAAAGGAAACAAAAAGATCATTCCTGCCATGGTTTTAAGACTATTCCCGCTCTATTTCAAGAAACTGTATTCATACCTTGCAGTCTTTTTTTTTTTTTTCAACCAAAGAAGCCTCGCAATACCACAATTACTGTGCCAGTTCCAAATCAACTCCCAAGTTCTTTGGCGTAATCACCATAGCACTGCTGCCTTGTGACACACTGTGCATGATGAAACCCAGCAGGGAGGCAGACTGGAGTAGGAAGGGAGCTGAACTTAAGTGTTGTAACCGATATGAGGGGAGGACAAACAGTGCTCCTTATAACTAATATGATCCGGCTTGGAAATGTAGATATGTGCTCTCTGTGTCCTCTACTTCTTCAATCTGTTTCAATCTGGTTAGTTTTATCCACCTCTCTGTCTTCCGGCCTGTTGCTTTTCTTCCTGCATATGTGGAGTTTCATCATGCGCCCTAGGAGGACTTTGGCGGAAGTTATCCTTGTCAGGTGCCGAGTTCTCCAGTCAGAGGGGATGTTTCTCCCAAGAGAGGGGCCGCAGACTAACAGCAGCTTCTGACGTAACCATGCCGCCCCTTTAGTTACTTTTTCTCTTGTGGCCACCCCTGAAACTCTAGGGGCAGCCCTGGTACGCGAGGGAAATTACCTCTCCACACCAATTACCTCCATGCAAGCCATCTTATTTACATCATCCCCTGATGAGTCACCATTGCCAACTGTGGAGAAGCTCCTGCATCACTTCAGGGAGTGAGGCCATGGCTCCCAGTCTCTGCATGCAGAGTACAACATGCTCTATTCACATCCCAGCCCAGTCATTCTACCTGCTAAAAGCCATGGGTAAGGTTTTGTCACTTCAAACGGTCCATTTTCCCTTTACCTTCCGGTCAGTCTCATAAAAGCACAAAGGCCCTACAACTGTTGATTTGATGGTCAAATCTAATTAGCCTGTACATCTGGATGTGTTATGTGAGTGTGTTTCCCCACTAATGATTTGGGCGCTCTTGCTTTTATTGGGTTACTCTGTCTGGCGTCCTGCGGTATTTCCTGTCAGACTTTCAGGGTGATATAGAATGCACTTAACAGGTTGGATCAAATAACACGAAAAAGCATTTAAAGGCAGTCGGGTTTGGTACTTACTCTTGAAACATTGCCCAAAAAGTTTTGCAATTCAGCTTCTCCCACATTTAGATGGAACTCGTTGACATGCAGCCTTATGTGTTTCTCTTGTAAGAAATACCCAGCATAAAAAATAGATAGAGATGGTGCTATTAAAAGAGAGAGATGAATCAACGTACTGTATACCCTTAAAAGTAAAAAAAACTCTTTCATAAAATCTGTTCATTTATCTGCTGTGAACCTTCTGCAGTGTGAGAGAGGGTTGGGTTTAGACTGAGCCATAATGGAGTTTAAGAAGAATTTCAAAGCTATTTATTGTTCACTGACCTTGAGTCAGTTTACTTTCTAACTTTGAATATATCCCTGATGGCATGCCTTCATCTGCTGCTATACGTGTTCTAAATATAGATATGGAGCACAAAGGCACACTGGAAACAGAGGGCAGCTCTCAGTATTTTTACTGATCAATGTGCTCATCTCTGTTGGAAACCATTGATCTACTGTTTATGTCAAATTGACCATGTTGTTGGTGTACAACTTCCACCCTACATTCAATGATGTCAAACCCACGTCATGTTCCCCTTTGTCCCCCTTGCCCAGTACCTTCTCTCAAAGCAACACACAACTATTGATCCTCTAATGATATTATAACACCAAAGGGCTTAGCATTGATTACTGCCTTTGAAAGATCATTCTTTGTGTCATCTGGCATTTTAGTGAATTTACAAATGAACATGACGCAGGATTCAGGGGAAACTTTTCTGCCTGAAAACAGTGTGCAGAATCATTGTATCAGTGTCTCCTAGACCTACATCATTGAAATGCCAGCAGGAGTCATATGCCTCATCTGTATCGTACAAACACAGAGGCCCAAACAGACACATGTGATGTTGAGGGAATCCAGTCTAGCTTAACTGACTTTAGACAATCCCTGAGGGATTCATAAAAACAAAGGTTCTCTGTTCAGAGGCATCCTTCCAGTACACATCCCGCAAGTCTCATTTATGAGTGGATAATCGTAGCATCATCACTCCCAAGTGCATTGGAGCTATTATCTTAATACGATATCAAAATATATATTCTTGGTATTACCAATATGTTATTACAAGAAAAACAGATTCTAAGTGGCTTGTTTGTCCTTTGGCAAAGTACCACCATTGTTATTTCCGTCACAAAAAAGTACAAGCTGTTTTCACCCAAGTTCCAGATTTCCTTTTAAAGGGACAAATCTCACTTCAGTGACCTAAATATGTTA